ATTCAGGGAGGTTGCCAGTTTAAGTGCTTTTAATTAGCTCAGCTCTGCCAGTATACTTTTTCCAGTGATCAGTGACTTGGTGCTGTAGAATAATGTGTGTGTATGGACAGGGCAGGCAAAGGCCTTATGTGCTACTTAATTGCCGTTTCCACTAGAGGACTTAAGGGATCTGTAGAGTCTTCAGCTGTAATGTTATGCTGCTTGTCAGCACAATTTTATACACACTAGTAAACTTACCTTTTGGCCCATAGCTTTAAAGCATGTCTAGATCTGCTGGGTCTTTGCTTCTAGTGAGATAAGCTACTAAGGAATGTAGGGCATTATTTTATATATATATTTTTAAAGTATCAAGCACAGGGCATGTGACAGTTCTAACCTTGTTACCAGTGTGTAGATAATGTTGTTTGGTTTTGGTTTTTGGTTTTTGTTTTTTTTTTTCCCCAGGCTATTTATAGTTCTTTGCTGCATTTCTCTTATTTCATCCCTACCATTCAATATTTTTCAGCAGCACAGCCTAATAATGGATTAGGCTGAGGTTCTTAGGCCGGATCCCAGCTGATACAATGCAGCACACTTCTCACCGCTTTTGGACGCCGCAGGTCTGATTTATACTGGCAGGGCACCTCTTCCATATCTCTCAGTGTAACAGTGTGTCTCAATGTATCCTTGATTTTTCTAATATAGAGCAAAAATGAATATTAACACTTTTCTTCGGTTTTGTTTTTGGTTTTGGTTTTGGTTTTGTTTTTTCATAATCTTAGGTACACAAATCCAGTACCTAACCCACCTCTCTGCTCCCATTCCCCCAAACCATCAGCGGTGAATTTTGTCTAGACACATTTAGGATGTAGGTTAAGTAAATGAATGATACTAATTGCTATATCGGGAGGGATTTCCACTGAGTATTTGGGCTCTAGATTCTAGCTAATGCCAAGAGGCCATTGTACAAAACCCATGCAGCTAAGAACAGAAGTATATGGGGTATTTTTATATTTTTGGTAACTAAAATATTTCTTTCTCAAGTCACTAATTAGAAAGGGAACATTTTGTATTCTGAAGGTGAAGTGGTAGGTCAGTACTTTGTAACTACAAAAGTTATACTCACCTATATAAGTAGTGTAGTGCTATGATGTGTTGCTGCTTTGCACTATGGAGTTAAGGATAAACAACTTTGAGGGGCTGCAAAAATGAATGAAGTGGCTTACCTGTTAAGGTGTTTACAAATAAGATGTAAAGATTCATCAGTGGGCCGGGATATCATAGCTTTCTAATAGCCCATAACATGACAGTGGGCATTCAGGGATGTGTTGAGGGTGTGATCTCAGTTACCACAGCATTCCTTAGGTGATCAGCATCCATTGGAGACTCCAGGGCTGACAGGGAAATTGCTATTTGTTTTTGTGGTTTTCCTGCCAGGCCTTTTTCTGTTTTGCCAAGGTATATACCCTTAGTTGACTTCCTACATAGAAAAGAGGGCATCTTGCAGGAAACTCTCATTTGTGATGCTGATACGGGGTTTCGATATTCTTTACCACCAGGAGTCTCTTCTCTGCCCTAAAGCCCATCTGCATACTCTTCCTCTAATAACTGTAACTGAATAGGTGAGAACAAAACATGGCAAAGCTGGATTTGTAGACCTATCTTACAGGAAAGATGAAAGAAATGTCCAGTGACTGGATTCTTGATGTCACAGGGAAACTTCTAGTTCTTGATTCCGTACATCAGCAATGATAGTCTTTTTCATTAGTTCCCCCCTTGTTTTAGCTTTACTCTTCCCTTTGCTCTTTAGTACTATACTATCTTGTTTATGCATATCTG